TCTGGTGGCACCTTAAAGACTAACAGATTTATTTGGGCATAAGCTTCGGATGCATCCAAAGAAGTGAGGTTTTTACTCACGAAAGCTTATGCCCAAATAAATCTGTTAGTCTTTAAGGTGCCACCAGACTCCTTGTTGTTTTTTAAAAGTGTCTGTTTGATTTACAGAATTTTTTTCAATCTCATCCCTTTTGATTTACTGAGATCCAAGGCCTGTATTATTAAACTCACTCACCTAAGACCAATGTATATGCCAAGGGAAAGATTTCAAAGGCACAAAGGAAAGTTAGGGAGTTGGGCATCTAACTGCCATGTGTACCTCTGAAAATCTCTCCTAAAATATGACATTGCCTGAAAAACCCTATGTGATGTTTCAAAACTTCATGTGATCAGTTACAGTTAGTCAAGCTACACATAGCAAACTGTGCATCTGTGGGTGAGAGAGAATGGAAGGGACTTTAAAAACAGCCACAATACTAAACCAGACTTCCTTCCAGATGCTGCCTCAAACGCTATTCTTGGAGATGGGACAGTTACTAGCATTGCTGCTGCTACAACTAAAACCCCCTTTTAATCCTCCAAATCTGTTGTACATTTCTAAAGCAACCTTTAACAAATCTATTAAACTCTTGATGCCTTTTTGTTCACAAAACTGCCCCTTTCTAGATCCCTCCTACTGATCTGGGCCTATGTTTGTGTGCACGGAGGCCATGCCACATCTGCCTGCCATATCTCAGATGTAGACATAGTTACAGCTGCAAGGGAAACTCCTGGAACTGCACACACCCGGGCTTTTCATTTGGAGAACTCTGCGTTCACATCTGTTATTTTAAAAGATCTTCAGAGAACTAGCATTACATTTTTCAAAGCAGTTGTCCTCCTTTTTGAATTTGCTTTGAAAGCAGTTAAGAGTGGGTTCTTAAAGGCTCCGCACAGTACTAGGGAAACTAAAACTGCATTTAATTGAGAGTTTCAGGTTAACAAGGACTATAACTAGGCCTGGCGTATGGTGTGTGCCTGTAATTGTACTACATCTGATCAGTCCCAAAATAAATAGCAATGGAAAATCTCTGGCTGCATTTTAATATCAAATATTGGAAATTTTATAAGAATGAAAGAACTAAATGTTCACAGCTTGGCTAAGAGCAACTAAGGGAAGGGAATCATTATCCACAAGCAGGGCTTGGTAAAAACTCGCCCGAGGACTGAGTTTGCTAGCCAGGATGAAAAACAGCTATGCTGCTATGTTCACCAAGGCAGGGGTGTCAAAATCATTCTGGGGAGAGAGACAAAATCCCTTTTTAATTATGGTCTCTGGGCCATGTAAAAATGCATGACCTCATATGTTCTCAACCCACAGCAGATCAACCGTGGAGGTCAGTGGGAGATTTGGGAGTCTGGCCTATAAACTAACTTTTTAGTTATTCTCATTATTTATGTGTTCAGTCCCTTAGAGGCATATTCTGCATCAACTGGAGGAAAATTCTGCTCTCCATTAGGTGCCTTGCTATTTCTGCCCTTTGTTGTTCTTGCTTTCTCATCCTCCTTTCTCTTTGTCTCCCTCTTCCCTGGCTTTAGGTTGCTCCTCCTTCCTTCCCAGTGTTTCTTTCCCTGTAATATCTTCCAATTTGGGGTCACTGCCCATTCCACTGCTAAATTAAACAAAGATATAGTTAATACTAGTGTCTAAAGTCTCATTAGTTTGCAGAGTTAACACTAGAGTGAGATTAATAGTAGGCAGAGAAGATCACATCTCTGAGACAGTGTTTCAAGCTCTCTGCAGACACAGACAATCCTGTACAAGTAACATTGGGTTTGTAGTTGGAAGATTTTCTTCAGAACCCTGAAAGCAAGAAACTTTATTTTTAATAATGAAAGCTGAGATTCTGCTGATCCTGAATATGCTATGTGAGCTACAAACAGTCTGTGCAACCTGTAGTTTGTATGTTTGATACTTCTGCACTAAAGCCACAACCCCAGCAATGTAAAGAAATAAACCAGTTGTGTGCTTATCGTGATGTCGTGTATTTAATTGCAGTGTGTTATCAATCAGCTTCCTATTTAATACTTCTTCCATCTCCCTTGCTTTTAGTTTATTTGTATTTTGCTAGTACCTGGGAGACCCAGTCATGGCCCCCAAAATAATAGGTGCTTGATAAACACAGAACAAAAAGACTGACTCTGCCCCAAAGAGCTTACAGTCTACCCTCTTGCTCTGCTTAGCTCTGCCCTACTTCTTGTTCATTGTGTATCTCTTCCTACATTTGATTTTCAGGGTCTTCTCTTTTCTTTCTTCTTATTCTGCAAGGTCTTCTCCCCTGTCTGCCCTATTTTCTCTCTCACACCTCTCCCTACTTAAAGCTCCATGTTGAAAGCCTGATCCAAAGACTCTAAGGGCTTGGCTACACTTGCGAGTTAATGCACAATAAAGGAGCCCCGTAGAGCGCTATGATGCCACAGCTACAGCGCTGCTGGTACTCCACCTCAGCGAGTGGAATAACGTTTCCTGCACCCCCGCTGGAGCACTGCAGCGCCAGTGTGGACGACCTGTCCTGTTAATGCGCTCTGATCGGCCTCCAGAAGTGTCCCACGATGCCTGTTCTAGCCACTTTGGTCATCACTTTGAACTCTACTGCCCTGCCCTCAGGTGACCAACCGTCAGACCCGCCCTTTAAATTCTCTGGGAATTTTGAAAATCCCCTTCCTGTTTGCTCAGCAAGGCGTGGAGTGCTCTCAGCGCATCTTTCCTCGTGACCATGCCTCCACGCGTCAGGTGATCCCCAGTATGGAGCAATGGCGAGGTGCTGGACCTCATCAGTGTTTGGGGGGAGGAAGCTGTCCAGTCCCAGCTGAGCTCCAGCCATAGGAATTACGATACCTTCGGGTAGATATCAAGGGACATGATGGAAAGGGGACATGACTGGGACGCACTGCTGTGCAGGGTTAAAGTGAAGGAGCTGCGGAATGCCTATCGCAAAGCCCACAAGGCAAACAACCGCTCCGGTGCTACCCCGTGACCTGCCATTTCTACAAAGAGCTGGACGCGATACTTGGGGGTGACCCCACTTCCACTCCTAGTACCACCATGGACACTTCAGAGCCCAGTTCAACAAGGCAGCAGGAGGAGGAAAGCAGGAGTGAGGG